GACAGTAATGAGGATTAATGCTTCACAAAAGGGCACTAACATAGCTGATCGACACGATTTTTATCCTGGGGCCTCACATTAACGGGCCATTGCTAAGCCCCTGAATCATGACTGTACGCAGTGGTTGCTAGGGTACGCGGCCGCCCCCACAAATCCCCCAAAACGAAGAAAATGCAATAAATTGTCAAAAATTCATTGCATTTTCCCCCGGCCCCCAACAGGAAAAATTCCTCTATAGGGCCATGCATTATTGTTCAAGGCATGGCCACACAGAGGAATTTTTTACAGAAGTAATGAGCTTTTAATTTGCCCTAATTCTAAAGAGGATCACTGTATTCTTCACCAGCTTGCCAGCTTACCAACTGAACTGTCCCTGCATATATAGCCAGCTTGAAGATGTTAACAGGATATTGGAAGGTTGCTAAGTTAGATAAATATATATATATATATATGCTTGCCAATAGCTCAACAGGATCATCAAGTTCACCTCTATATGAAGACACAAATTTGTTCTCAATGCCAACCTGCTGTTAAGCAAGCCATTAAGCTTCCATCCATTTTGCGAGATTTTCGAAGAGTTTGTAGACGAGCTTTCCGACGAACTCGCCGACGAACTTGCCGACGAACTCGCCGACGAGCTTGCATATTTGGAGCACGCCAACGAGCTCGCCAACGAGCCCGCCAACAAGCTCGCCAACGAGTTCGCTAACGAGCTTGCCAACGAGCTTATCAGCCAGTGACGAGCTTGTCAAAAAAGCTAGCCTCAAGCTCGTTTTTCCCCAAATTGGCGAGCTCGCGGGCATGCTCGCAGCTAATTTGCATAATGGAACGAACGAGCTCGCTGGCGAGTTCGTCTGCGTGCTCGTCTACGAACTCGCCGGCAAGCACGCTGACGAGCTCGCATGTAAGTGTACTGAAATTTGTATATAGGGATCCCACTAAATTCCATCATATACCAATAAGACTTAAAGATAACCTCTTGCAGCCAATTATTGAAAATCAAATTCTGTAGAACTTCGCAGAAATTGTGAATATGTCATGTACATGTATGTCTTACTGTGAATATTTAAACATTAGTAGTGTCTTGGTATTCAAAAAGGGCAAGGAAACCCGTTTACCTTCTAGACTTCGGTGTCAGACACGTATTGAGTGACTTTGCTAATAACATACATGAAATGAGCTGTAACAGGTACATGAGCATTTTTCTACATCAATAACCCACTACTTGTAACGACCAAAATTAAACTGATTGAATCTTTGTGCAGCACAAAACGTACGACCATTTGGTAAAAGGGTCTGAAAATTAGACTATTACTTAGGTAATTGCAATCAATTAAGTCAATTCGACAACTAATTTCCGATATTTTCCTAATAAAAGCCATTTGCAAGTCCTTTCGTTGTGAGGAAAATTCTAAATTAGTTTTGTCTTTCAAATGCCGTTGGAATTTAACCTTTTCATTTTTTGGGGCCTGCAAATGGGACTGAGTACCTTTAATAAAGTGACATTAAAACAAATAACACATGACCCTTCACAACACAAGAGGATATTGTCAACTTTGAAATGATTATATGGAAAAGTTTCAGGCCGAAATTCCACTAAAGTGGATCTGTGCGTGTTTTTGTTTGCTCAGCGCGCACAGGTACGTCTCGTGAATAATTCGTGACCCTACACACACAGCATGCAAAGGCGAGTGTGCAGACCAGTCTATTAGCGAATATAGGTAGATTAAGCTCAACGTTACTTCTTACTTTTTCAAGGTTTCCGACGAATTTGCTACACCAATCAGCTTGATTTTGATATATGACAGAGAGGGATAAATTACGCACTGGACAGTGAAAACGCTGTATGCGTAGGGTAATCCGTTGCTGGGATACAGAGTCTCAAACACGGGGTCATCGATTATGTTTCCTGCTTCGAATTGTGCAAGTACATGCATTGCTATGGAAGGGTTGGTGTCAAAATTCACTTGATAATCTTTCTTCCGACGCGAATACTTGAAATTATTTTCTCATATTCAGGAAAATACAATAAAAAATAAAGACAATAGAATACCGTTCGCGCCAGCCTTGTAATCTGCAGCATTGCAAAGTTACACCAACATCTTTGACAAAAGAACGGTTTTTGAATCCTGTGCCCATTGGTTATAATACTTGCGCGCGAGCATGCGTTTGAGACTCGCCAAAAGACACCACTTTTCCATATGTATCACTCATCACAATTGGATTAAAAAGAGAAGAAAGTCCAGTCACATAGAATGTTGCTTTAGAAAAGAGCGTGTTTAAAGTCCGCAGTCTATTTAAGTTATGAGACTCCCCAAGGTCTTGTACAAGGCGAAAAAAAGGAGAATTGAAATTCTATAGAAATATCTGTGAAGGGATAATCCGATTGTGCTCAAACTTAGCAGACTAATTACGCCTCTCCTGCTCTTTATCTTATCATCGAATCAATACATTAGCTCCCTCAGGTTTATATTGATTGGAGATCAAAATGAGACCGGTAGCTAGGGTCGTAAATAAATATAAACTACTACAACAAACTCAAAATCAGAAAAAACATAGGTCTAAAAAATTCTGCCTAAATACCGCTTCGAAATTTTGAAATTATTTAAAAAAGTATACTCTTTTAGGAGATTCTAAAAGCTAGATTCGGCCATCCTGAACAAGTACACCCTTTTTGAGCTCTAACAGAAAACTACACTATATATATATAACTTTTTGTTTGTTATGTGGTGCGGGGTGACATATGTACTTGCATGTTTACGTAAAGATTGAATTTAAAAGAGACCGTCGTTTTACCATTTAAAATGTTCACCTGTAGAACCTAATCTTATCTATATAGTGTACTGATAAAAAGATTCGTTATGTCAGTCTCACCTCCCTGGTTGTATCTTGGGGGTTTGATGTTTATAATTTCTTTCTCTCTTTTTAATAGATGAATAACGAATAACGTCATATTTTCATTTCAACTATTAAATGCACCTCCTTGTTTCACATCAGGTGTCGACCATCATTTAGAATTACATATACTACCAAAAGTTCATTCGCAAGGTATTTTAAAGAATACCAACCTGAACTACTCTCAAAGTGATGAATGGTCTTACTCAGCCGTTAGCGTTCTGAGACCAGTGCAAATTTAACACTTATACAGGTGTTTGATTTTATTCAATATATTATTATATTCATTAAATCGTTCTGGTATCCGACTTCGCCCCACCCCAACCCGCCTTTCACGTTTCAGATATTCATTTGTTCCCGACTATGTTCATAAATTCAACTCACAGGTTAAACGTTGAACTTCTGCGTCGGAAATTAATCAATACTGAAATTATTATGATTTGAAATACCAATGACCAAGGCTTAATTCTGAAACTCATGATTGTATCTTTTCCATGTATTTGTTCCTTATTTCATCTATTTCTATAAACGTGATGTATTTATTTCTTGTAATTATGCATTTTCTTGAATGCTACTATAACGCCAGTGGAAACCAAATTTCTATGTAACTTGTTTGCAAAAATAAATAAAATATCTTGTATCTTTTCTTGTTTCTTGTATCACAGTGGACTTATGCTTAACATAACTGTACCTTGTACTTGGTGTGTCATCACTCGGGGGTTCAGTCATCTCTTTGGTTTTCAGCCTTCCTGCCATCGTGAGTGGTATCCAGACTGAGGAGAAATGTCAAATTATAAATAGAGATACATGTATATAATTAATAATCACAAACACGGGTCCACCGAATGGCGGTCAAGGTGTGCCTCGGTCATAAGTCCTAAACATTGACCGTTTCACTAACATATTTAAATGTTATAGACGTTTCTTTCCTGCATGGGAACGAGTGACGAGTTATTCCATTAACCTCTTATTAATGAATGAACTACATACTTATGATCATGTATGCTTAAATTACGTGTTGCTATGTCGAGCAAGCCTCGGACAAGCTTCTAGGTTGTCAAGTAAAACCCTTTTTTAAAAGAAGTCTCAATGCGCCGGTTACGTATATGTGACAAACAGTCAAGGTGCTTTTAAACACACATTGTTTCAATAAGAAAAATGTATATGGTGGTCCATTTACATCATTGTTTAAAGCATGAGTATAGTATTCTATATATTTGTTTAGAAAGTTGCAAGTTATGTAGATCATGTACAATGGTAAACGAATGATGCATTGCCTATATATATTATTATGTTTTTATGTATATAAATATGTATGTTATATATATACATAATTATATAAAAACATAATTATATACCTGCTTGAAGTATGTACTGTGGTGGGCCAGTAAATGGGTTGGAGACGACAAGTTCAAATATAATTGAAAACAAAAGAAACTCGGAATTACAGTTGAAGTCAACTTTATTAATTATATAAGTCAGCCGAAGCTCCAATCGTTACAAATGAAGAGTAATTATTGTATAAACATTTTAAATACAAGGTGCTTCTCTCAGAGGCTGGGCGGCCCTATCGACAGTAACTAGCAGCACATCCTACTAAACATGTTAAAGAAATGAAATAAACTCTCAAATAATATGACTACAGAACCCCGCATATGGCATTTAAATACTGCGGCACCCCACGAGGCTTAGACATCACTAGCCAACCAGGAGGACCCTTACGGAGACAACCAATTACAAGACAGGATATATATAATTACCCTTAGGTCATCCGACCAATTAAGAGAGGAGTTATACCTTTAATTAATTATAACTAATGACAAAGCATAATAGATAAGAGTGATCTGAACTAGTCACCGACAAAAATGGGAGGAGTCTATCTCTTGGCGAGAATGTCGCGTCCCCGGAAAAACAGTCTATTGTCTAACGTGTTGTTGGAAAGGAACACCATGCAGGAATTCATTTCCAACGTTCTTATCAAAATGAACACTTTAATCTAATACAAGAATTCAAAACCAGGGGTTGTTTACCCGTTCCCGGCATACTATTGGAAACATAATTAATGCTATTTAACTTTAATCAACCCAGCCCGGATGCGTCTTATTTTTTCGTACCACGGCGAGGCCGGATTCCTGTTTTATCATGAATATTCATTAGGCAGGGTCGGGGAAAGTCTCGATTCTCTTAAATATTCATATCGAGGTGGGAATGCACGACGCGCGCTATACTCGCACAAAGTGAGAAGATTTAGTTCACGGAGAATGCATATGGGTGAGTAATTGATTGAAATATCAGTAGATTAAGAGAATTTAGTCATTAATTTGAAAAAGCTGTAATTCGTGATCTACTGTAATTTCTTTACATTTTGAGACTGTTCTCAACAGATTTGTGGGGAAAAGGCTAGGAAAATATTTCTCTTGAAATTGCACTTTGATTTTCATCGTCGTGAAGTAGTTTGACTGCGGTTTGCCTTCATGTCACCCTTTAGAGCCCCGGGGTTCCGGCAGGCCCACGTTGGGGAATTTCGGTGCTCATCTGCATCAAGATAAAACTTTCTGATCAGGTTTTATTCCAAATTTGATCGTCATCGTGAATCTAATTCACCAATCATCCATTGAATTTAAATCAAGATTTAACGTTACACCTTAAAATAATCTATGAAGTATGATTTCTTTAATAATCCAAGAGGGTTAATTCTTGTTTATATCTTTAGTAGATGTCGACTCTGTTGGCTATACTAGTATTACTAAGACTAACTTCTAAGTGCTATCCGTTCGCTCAGTTGCATCATTGGTGCGTGTTAACTTTTAGACCAAAATTGTTTGTGACCATGGATAATCAAACAGCTCCAAACCATATTTCATTTAGACGTAAACCTGGAACTTATTAATAAAAATATTCAAAAACAAACAAATTAGACCTAGGATTCATTTATTTAATGTTCAGATGTTGTGTGTGTCCAGTGTGCTTGTCAAGTTGTCATAACTTTTCTAGAGCTAGACCTATGTTAAAGATTTTTTCTTCTCCAAAGTGTGCAGTTCATTTGATAAATCTATTTATTGTTGGACGTTGTATAAGAGAAGACCCCTAGGGTAGTCGACAATTATGTTTACTTATACGCAGAGGCGGCGGAGCCTTTGGGCGGAGCAACTTCCAAAGTGGGGGGGGGGGGGGGGCACCAACAAAAAGGGCACTTTCTTGAGAAAAGGGCACCTTCAGAGGGAAAATATACCATTCTTTTGACATTGGTATATACCCCTATTTAGTGATTACATTATCAGGGATGATTTCAATATTTGTTTCTCTTAATACAGCATTTAAGATATTGCTTAAGTATTATACTTTGCAGTTTTTGGCTTGCAGTGCGAAAAATTACATCTTATAAAGAGGAAAACCCAATCCTGATGGGGTTATATAAGCACAATCTCATAACGGAAGACTGAATAGATCTGTGATAAGTTACATAATTATAACGTCTATAACTATGGGCAAGTGTAGCGAGCGAGCTTTGTGGGAAATTGCTTTTAGTCGCTTGAAATTAGGGACACGTTTAATGATGAGAGGAAAAGGGGACACTTATCGAAAGGGTTAAGACACTTATCAGAAAAGAAAAGAAGCATGTGTCAAAGTACAAAGGCTAATTATCAGAGGTGAAAATGGGGCACTTCTTACACCTAAACAAAGAGGCATGCACCAGGGATGATAAGAACATGGGCATTTGTCGACGGAAAAGAGGCACCCATCAGATTTTGATAGGGGGCATTTATAAGCAGTGAAAAGGGGCATTTATGAAAAAGGGATAGGTTCTTTATAAGAAAGGAAATAGGGTACATATCATTGTTAAAAGGGTAATGAGAAGGGGAAGTGGCTCTTATTAAAAAGAAAAAGTGGCACATGTTTAAATAAACGGGGCACTTATCAAAGACGAAAAGTGGTACCGGTAATTATGATAAGGGGTAAGGGTGCTTATAAGGAAAAAAGGCATTATATAGGAAGGAAAAGGAGAACTTGTCAAAATAAAAGGGGCATTTATAAGAGATAAAAAGAGTACTGACTAGGAGGGGAAGGGGTGCTTGTCAAAGTAAAACAAGTATCTCTCAGAAGTGAATAGGGTCATTTACAAGAGATGAAAAGGGGCACTTAAGAGAATGAAAAGGAACTATTTTCATAGATGAAAAGGGGCATTTATGAGAAGGGAAAGGGCCTATTTTTAAATGGGGGCACTTATAAGAAAAAGGGGCACTTATTAAAAATGAAAGGGAGCACATGTGAAGATATAAGGTGCGCTTGTCCAAGTTAAAAGGGGTAGTTATTAAAAGGGGAAGGGGCACTTTAAAAACTTAATAGGGGCACTTGTCAGAGTAAAAGGGGCACTTTCCTATGTAAAAAGGGGCACTTTTCCTATGCAAAAAGGGGCACTTTTAGGGTACTTGACCAAATGGGAGGGCACTCTGCCCCCCCCCTCTTGGAGCGCCGCCTCTGCTTATATGGTATGTAGTCCACCTCTTCTTGTTATAATAAACTAATTCTACTTAGTACTGCTTCGTGTTCATAGGCCATAGAAACCACTGTTTGATGCACAAGTTAAATCTTCCATTTAGTTTTAATTTGTACTGTGGTTCATTAAATAGGAATGTTGATTTCCACACCATATTAAAATTAAGGCCAACCATGACATAAAAATATCTATTAATTTGAATTATGCTAGATCTATTTTATTTTGTTAAGGAGAAAGGGATGCCTTGATTGTCGTATTGATTTTCTTCTTCTTTTTGTTCCAAAAGATTGAAACTGAAGAGCTGGAAGGAGGACATTACAACATCTCTTATATTTGCAAGATGAAGCAGAAAGTCCCATGCAGGTACAGTTATCAGGTTATTTAGCACACACATATTAAACGACCACCTATTAATTCACTCAAAAGGAAATGGAACTAAGTTGACATTGCAAGCATATATAGTGGAGGGTATATTTTATTCTAGTTCTGCACCTAGTATACAAATATTGATGTCTTTTCTTTCTATGTTTACAAAGGAAAATTTGTCCTTATTTACAGGAGGTCCTGTGTTTAGAAGAGCCATATCAAATGCACATTGTAAGCACTACATGTACATGTAGGGTATACACAGGACCCCTCATTTTTTTTTTGTAAGGGGTACTTTCACTTCTTGAGCAATGAAGATGAAGAAGAACACAAAATAAGATTGATAAAAGTCTGTTTATAGGATGTATTATGGTTGATATGTATCCATCAGTATCAGTTTTTAATTGAAGTACATGTACCTACTTTGTTTTCTCTCATGTAGGATGATGCCTCTCTACAGTGGATGATGAAGGCATTCTGGTTTGCAAACTCAGGAGAGGAACAAAGAACAGATGTTGACGGGATCATATCTAGAGATGCGGGCCTACTACACTTCATACGAGCAAGTGTGCTAATATACATGAAGGTACCCCCAATAAATTTTTGTGGAACAAATGTCATGGAGAAAATTATAGATCTGAAACAGATATTTTTCATTGTCAGTTGACTTGTAAAAGAATAATTGACTTAATATCACAATTGTAATTTAGATTAAAAATTAAATGTCAATATAGATGAAATATAAGTCTACATTACGTATGTTTCAGTAGCATTATTTCCAGTACATTCGCTGGTCAAAGTTGTTTGGTCATTTTATGTCCCATACTTAACCGAGTATTATTCAATTACCGGTATGAGCACGAGTTGTATTACATTGTATTACTTATTTCATACCTTGTCTGATCCGAGCTCCAGCAGGCCTATCGTCTTAATGGGATCATCAGTAATAATTTAAGATGCGGTCAGTATTTAAACTAGTCTTGTACAAAAAATAGTTTAGGTTTGCCCACTAGAACCCCAAGTGAATTTCAGTCCTTCCTTTTTCTGAGCAGGTATCAGGGTGTATGTTATTAGTCATTGTTGATTTTTTTATATCTTATTTCATTTTTCCATTCAACAGACTTGGGTTATATTTTTTTCTGAAAACTAGGCTACAACTTTAGTGATGGATGCAGAAGATATCTACACGAGACTACGTCTTAAAGATGCCACCCTCATATAATGAAAGAGGACAATAGAGATGGGTTTAAACTGGAATATTTACATGATATTTATTTGTTATTTGTATTATATGTTTGTAGAATACTACATTCAATAAAGCTAATGAAGTTTATCATCTTGTCGACTTTCAAATAATTAAAGATAACTAATCCTCAACGAATAAACATTAAAATTCTAACAATGTCAACTACCATCTTATAGGATGAAACTGAGGACTGGGCAGAAAGATTCTCCTTCAAATTTGATTGATAAAGGTCTATCAGTCTATATCAAAGATTGAATTAATCAATGATATTTTGATTATAATTATACATGTTAAAATTCATTTACCTCTATGGACTTCTGTATGGGAAGTTTTGTAGATTATGAAATTATTGCTACTTCAAGTATTGTATGTAAGAAGGTTTGAAAGACAACACTCTAAATGCATTAAATATGGAAACTGCTAATCCTCATTGCCTTTCGTATCCAAACTGGTAGCTTTCATAGAATCATGTTTCGATGCTTCCCAACTAAAGAAAACAGGGAGTGGGGGGGGGGGGGCTTGCTATCCTCTTATCTTATCCTCTGTACAAATATGATTATATGTTTATATTAGAAGGATTTAGAAAGTGAAATTTTGAATTATAGCATTACTGTTGGTAGAAGTAATGGCAGTGTCGATTGTTAATGTGGGGGAGGGGGGGGGGGGGGTTCCTGGTGAAATGTCAAATTAATAAAAAAGAGAAAACTATTCTTAAGAATAAAAATTATACAGTACATGGGCCTCCTAACAAAAACCCTGGTACCACTGTTGTGTTTTGAGTGTGTTTTTTTTTTTTGGGGGGGGGGGGGCTGGCAAACCAATTACAAATTTCCAGTGTTAAATTCAAATTTTTTCTTTAACAAAATTATGTCAATATATTGTAATTAAACAATGTTTCACTTTCCTTTTTTTCAAGTTAGATATTTGAATAAAATGATTAACATACTTTCCGGTTTCTCTGGCCTCTACATTAAAAATGTTCTACTTCTAGCAAAGCTCCTGGAAAGGCTGCAAAAAGGGAGAGTGAAGAGAATGAAATTGAAATGTGGACAGTAATGGAGTGAATATGGAATGGTTGATGGTAGTTGATAACGAGTGAATGCAAATGAGTGGCAACAAGTACGACTGGAAGTGAGACAGAAAGGAATTGCAACAGGTTGCTCAGTCAAGAGAACAAAGCTTGCAGAAGATAGTTTTCGAAAGACAGAGAAGGAGAGAAAAGGGGAATTATAAAAAAAAAAGGAAAAGGGGGCATGTGTCAAAGGGGCATTTATGAGAAAGGGTTGGGGTTGGGGCTCCTATTAAACAGGGAAAGGGGCACGTATCAAAAGGTAAAAGGGCACTTGTTAGAAAGTTTAAGGGGACGCGTGTCAAAGTAAAAAAAATGAAAGGGCTTTTATCAGATATTACAAGGGGCACTTATGAAAATGGAACAGTGGCACTTATTATGAAGTTAAAGGGGCATTTGTTGTAGAAAAAGGGGCACCTGTCAGATTTGAATAGTGGGTAATTATCGCCAGGGCCGTAGCCAGAGTTTGGGGGGGGGGGGGGCACATACATGTAATTGATCGACGTCCTGGGGAGGGGTCAAAAAGAGTTCAACCGATCTTGGATTTTTTTTCTTCTTTTTTTCTTCAATGTATGTGAAAGAATGTGTAGTTTTCTCTCGAGTTTGTCTCATCATGCGTGGGATCTGTGGGTGCTGGGGTTCCTGCAGCAACCCTGTACATGGATTTTCTTCAGTGGGTGCATATAACTCGTGGACTTCACATTGTAAACCTTCAAATGATGAATTATCATCGAGTCCCCCACCCCCCCACCCCTTCCCTCATTATTTTAGAAAGAAACCAAAGAGAACTTTTAAGAGAAAAAGAGAAAGGAAAGGAAAAAATGGTAGCTAGGCCTAAACAAAAACAAGAGGCAAGATAAAAGAAAACAAGATTGAAGATATGGTATCAATATTATCTTGCTCCTTTCCCTTTTCTTTTGTCTTCTTTTCATTTCAATTTTCTTGCAATTTATATCTTTCTTCCTTGGTATCTATTCCGTATTCTTTATTTCTTCCATTCATTTATTATTTATATATATTTTACTTTTTAACTTTGTTATTCTTCTTTCTAATCCCATTTTTCTTTCTTCCTTTTCTTCCTTATGCAGTTAAGTGAGCATAGATCATAGAAATAATTTAAGTGCAATACACAAGCATTTTATTTTTAATAAATGTCTGTATGTAGGCCTATTCTTGTTATCTATTTTATACAGTTTATAATACTGTATCACATATTCAATACCATAATGCAACCTCTGCTTGTAATATCTAAAAAGCAAACCTAGAACTGATTATTTACCAATTCATGAAAAGAACTAGACTCCCATTAATCTCAGAAAAGTAGGCCTAGGCTACTCACAAATTGCCTATCAAGACTCTTACTTGAAATATATGCTATATATCTTGTCTACCGGTACTGACATTTTGGCATTTACTAGTAATTAAACACAGCATTTATGACTGTATTATCTAAATGACCATGACATTGCTTTTCTATGTCATATTATAGGCCTGCCATTAATCCAACGTATTCGATGCTGCGCATGCCTCGATCATACATGAATATTCAAGAGAATCGAGACTTTCCCCGGCCCTGCCTAATGAATATTCATGATAAAACAGGAATCCGGGCTCGCCGTGGTACGAAAAAATAAGACGCAGCCCGGATCTTCTATGGCTCTAGCGCCCCCTTTAGATCAAATGAGTTGCCCAAATGAGTACCACTACAGTACCGTGGCTTGTGTTGATTAATGATCTCCGGTTAAACAAAATTTGTGCATGCGTACACAATTAGCATAAACTAAAGTAGCTGTCAACAAGTAATGAGAGGTTTATTTTTAAACGTGTCTTAAAGAAGCAAAAGGCGTTTAAAACTTACAAAGTTTGTTTGTTGGACATGAAACCGGTTTTGACACGAAGCCGAAATATGAGATGTGTGGAATGAAATGATCTAGAAATCGGTCTTATAAAGATTCCCTTTCGCTAATGTGCTTCGTTCCATCCGATTTTCATGTTTATAAAAGTGACGAATAACCCGTATGAAATGAAAGACATAGGGTACACGAGTCTGTATTTCACAGTCTAGTGATATTGGGCAGGTACTTGATGCAAGTCAGTCGAGCTATGTGGTCCAAAAAACGAAACCAGAGGAAAATACATATAAATAGAGCTAACCAACCACACAAAAGAATACATATCTCTTGCTCAGTGAGTGTGTCATGTTGTACATTGTGATGCGAATACTATCACATGATATAGTGGCCTGGGCAATACGCTCAACAAGTGGAAACCTTAGTCTGTTCCCAGACAGAAAATGCATTACATCAAATGACGATGGAGCAGGGATTGGGGTGGAGGGGACTTCAACAGGGGCGTCGCTAGACCTTTTTCAGTGGGGGTGTAGAGGCCAACAATTACCGACAAAACTAGCCACCAATTACCGACAAAATTAAATGTCCAATATCTACAAATTCAACCCTATAAACGTGGGGCCGAAGGCTAAATTGTTTTTCCTATGGACTATCTATAGTACTTGCATATGCGCAAAATTGTCATTTTCCTCGACGACATAAATATACGAATTATTTCTTCAATTTAGTCAGCATCATAGCTATATATTTTAATGCAGGCGCGGAGCTAGGATCTTATTTTAGGGATGGGCGGTAGTGAACAAGAGATTCACTTTAAAGCGCTTATTAGTGGGGTGTGGGTGATGGGCCTCCCGCGCGAAGCGCGGAAGCTTAGACGTTTCCTTAAATTATCAGGAAAAGAAGACGATTAATTGTACCGTTTTCGACTGGTAATCCGTGGCTGTATAAAGTTCCCCCCCCCTCCCGCGCGGAACGCTAAAGCTTTGACGTTTCATTAAATTATTATAAAAAAGAAGACGATTTGCTGTACCGTTCTCGACTGTTTATCCTTTTCGGAATTCAGTTCCCCCCCCCATCCCGCGCAAAGCGCGGAAGCTTTGTGGTTTCATTAAATCATGAGAAAAAGCAGACGATTTGGTGTACTGTTCTCGACTCTTAATCCTTGTCTGAATTCAGTTTTTCCCTCTCCCGCGCGAAGCACGGAAGCTTTGACGTTTCATTAAATTATGAGAAAATGCAGACGATTCGGTGTACTGTTCTCGACTCTTAATGCTTATCTGAATGAAGCTTCCCCCTCCCGCAAGTTTTGACGTTTTATTAAATTATTAGAGAAAGAAGACGATTAGTCGTACCGTTTTCGACTCCTATTAAGCCCTATTCATCCGAATTCAGTTTTCCCCTCTCGCGCAAAGCGCGAAAGCTTTGACGTTTCATCATATTATTAGAGAAAGAACATGATTCGTTGTACCGTTTTGACTCTAAATAAGCCCGTTAAATTGTGTCTGAATTCAGTTTCCCCCCTCTCGCGCGAAGCGCGGAAGCTCAGACGTTTCCTTAAATTATTAGAGAAAGAATACGATTCGTTGTACCGTTTTCGACTCTAAATAAGCCCTATTAATTTTGTCTGAATTCAGTTCCCCCTCTCGCGCGAAGCGCGGAAGCTTTGACGTTTCCTTAAAATTATTAGAGAAAGAACACGATTCGCGAAGCGCGGAAGCTTAGACGTTTCCTTAAATTATTAGGAAAAGAAGACGATTAATTGTACCGTTTTCGACTGGTAATCCGTGGCTGTATAAAGTCCCCCCCACCCCTCCCGCGCGGAACGCTAAAGCTTTGACGTTTCATTAAACTATTATAAAAAAGAAGAAGATTTGCTGTACCGTTCTCGACTGTTTATCCTTTTCGGAATTCAGTTTCCCCCCCCCCTCCCGCGCAAAGCGCGGAAGCTTTGTGGTTTCATTAAATCATGAGAAAAAGCAGACGATTCGGTGTACTGTTCTCGACTCTTAATCCTTGTCTGAATTCAGTTTTTCCCTCTCCCGCGCGAAGCGCGGAAGCTTTGACGTTTCATTAAATTATGAGAAAAAGCAGACGATTCGGTGTACTGTTCTCGACTCTTAATGCTTA